TGTCTAGTTAATCATCACAAGCCCTTCACACACACACACACACACACACACACACACACACTCACACACACTCACACACAGAGAGAGAGAGAGAGAGAGAGAGAGAGAGAGAGAGAGAGAGAGGTCATTGGAGTGAGTTGTGCTGTTCTTTGAGACATCCAATGAGAGGTTAAAGTGTTGTGTTCTATTTGTTCACCATCAGTCATTAAAGAAACAGTATGTGCTGTTAATTATAATTATAATCATTGTCATCATTAGTGTGATACTAATTGTTAAATTATAAGGTTGGATCATAATCAGATGTTATAGATAATATAAGATCATTTTCACAAGTTTGTGCCTGTCATATAGCAAGAAGGGATTTCCTTCAATGTTTGCTACTTACCCATTTTAAAGTAAGGAGTAGAAGTCATCAGATTTTTTGTTTATTTGCGGTGCTGAGGATTGAACACAGGACTTTGTATGTGCTAAGAACAGTTGATTACTGAGTTACCCCTTTAGTCTCCAACAAAGGCTTTAGAAAAAAATGTGTGTCTATATGTGTTTGTGTTCCTATATATGCAAGTATGAATATATCTATATGTGTGTTTGTGTGTGTGTGTGTATATAGTAATAATTAAAAGCCCACAAAATGGGGAGCTTGTCCTGCAGGAAGCTGTCTCCAAGGACAGAGGAGTGCTAGACATCTGGACCTAAGGAGAGGTCTGTGGTACTTCTTTTAGCTCCCTCTGCTCCATGTGTCCTCTGTGTCAGTTGTTATTTTGCCTGTGAGCACCTTGTGACCAGTGGCTGCCCCTCTTTCCCTGTCAGTGTCTGTTGAACACTGGGCTCACACCTATAAAGAGACATGATATCAGAAAAGAACATGGTTTATTAAACCTGCAGGCTGGCATAGCTGGAGGCTTTTCTGCATCCTACCTGGTATAGTTGCCACTTATAAAATCATCACTAAGAGACTTAATATTAACTATAATTATTTGGCCAATGGCTCAGGCTTATTACTAGCTATCATTACATATAAATTAACCCATTTCTATTAATATGTGTATTACCATGTAGACTGTGGCTTACAGGCAATGCTCTGGTATCTTACTCCTCCTGTAGCTGTTGGCATCTCATCAGCCCTACCTTCTTTCTCCCTATATGTAGCTTGGTTTTTCCACCTAGTTATATTCTGCCCTGCCATAGGCCAAAGCAACTTTATTCATCAACTAATAAAAGCAACACATATTTTCAGCATACAGAAGGACATCCCACACCAGACTGGTTTTAGGGGAAAGATATGTGTGAAGACAGGCAGTGTTGATGAATAGTCAACTTTAATACGTACCTAATGAAAACCACCAGCATTTACTTAACTAGTCATCCAGTATTCAGGAAAACATCCATTGTGCTATAGATGTTGTTCTAGTGTGTAGTATTGTAAGTCTAGGATCACAAAATAACACAATCTGCCTGACAGACAACATGGGCAAATGCTTGAGGCTGTCAAGGTAGCCTATGATTTATTCTTTGTCTCAGAGCTGTATGCAAACCAACACACACATGCACACGCATTTGTACACACACACATGCACACACCAGGATGGAGCCCAGAAACCTCAGTGTGCCATGAGAACTGACTTTTGCGCTTTCTGGAGGCATTGCATTGGGTCTGGAGAGTTTTGGGGAGTTCCCTACCCACATCTTGTCATTGTCCTTTGCTTCTAAACTTGTCTCTTTCTTTCTATTTTCCCCCCTCAAGACAGGGTTTCTCTGTAGCTTTGGCTGTCCTGGAACTATCTCTATAGACCAGGCTGGCTTCGAACTCAAAGAGATCTGCCTGCCTCTGCCTCCCTAGTGCTGGGATTAAAGGCATGCACCACCACCGCCTGACTCCTAAACTTTTTCGCTGACAACCTGGTTTCCTTCTAATGGTTTTCTTTCAACTGATTCAGGCCTAGATTTAACACTAACAGAATGAGAAGCTGAAAGGACCAGTCAGTTGTGTGTACATGGAGCTGTGCTGGTCCCATTCAGGCACTCGGTGGTGTCTATAGATCATGATGTAGTTCTGCTGATGGAGGCACTTTAGTAGTAAGGTATTTTTTATTTTTCCCAATTTGGAGTTCTTTATTATTTAAATTGTTTTAGCAGTTTCATAGAGGAGGCATTTATAAGAAATCAAGTAATGATTAGTCTATAGTTCTGATCATGGAGATGCTGCTGTAGCTAAGGCAACCCTAAAGGTTAAGATTAAAGGCCAACCTCCTGAGGATTCCTCCACCTCTGCAGTCCAGGCATGGCCAGAGCAATCAAACCCCTGAACAAACAGAGCCTGTCTTCTGTGTTATTCTGTAAGCTGTGCAGTATCACAGTAATTTTCAGGGGACTTGCTTGTTAGGAATCACAGGTCATCAGGAGATGGCGGACATGGGGGGCTGTGGCTAGGTTATTCAAATACTCTATTGTACTGCTGAAAGAACTTGGGCAGCTGTGCTTTTGGGTATCCACGGGGAACCTGGAACCAATGTCCTAAGGATGACCCCACTGCCACTCACTGTCCTGTTCATTGACAGTTCAAAGTGTGAGCAGGAAGCAAGGCAGTCTTGGAAAGTCTCCCTGGGGAAGAAACCTGAAAGGTGTCTTGAGAATTGTCTGAGAGTCTGGAGGAAGTGCCCTAGGCTCTGTGAAACTAAGAACCTGCTTTCTTTGCTTCTGGGCATCCTGGGAGGAGATTGAGAAACACCCAGAGTTTAGAAGCCAGATCCCACAACAGGACATTCCTCACCCTATAACAGGGACTATTAGATGCCTCACTAAAGTGGCCGAGACTCAGCTTAGGAGAGATAGCTGCCACTGCGGTAACTCAGTAGTAAGCAAATAGACACTGGGAGCATCCGTGAGCTATGAGCAATGGCCTCTGTCAGCTAACAAGCCTTTAGAAGCCCTGCCCTAAAGCTAGGCCTCCCATCCCTTCCCCATAGCTGAGCTTAGTGTTTGTGATATAGGCCTCCAAGTCAGGTCAGGGACTTAGCACAGATAAGGGACCAAGAGAAAGTGGGAAGTGTCCTGGAGGCAGACAAGAGCTTCCACCTGTCCCTGACTTTCAGTTGTGTCTCTTCTCATGTTTATTACCTGGATGCATATGCACCTCACTGTGTGGGTGGTACCCCCAGAGCCCAGGGCGTGGGGTCCCCTGGAACTGGAGTTACAGGCGCTTGTGAGCCCCCTGATGAGGTCCCGGGAAAGGAACTGAGTGCCCTGAGCCAGCTCCCCAGCCCTCCCTGCCTTTTTGTATTAACTCCTCCGGGCATTCACTCTTCAGTGCTCAATTTTTGTTTTGTTTCCTTTTTCTAGATCTCCTCCCCCCTACACACACACACACACACACACACACACACACACACACACACACACGTACCTGTTTGTGTAGAGTTCTCAGTCTCAGCCTGTCACTAAACTGAAATTTGCTCTTTTCTTTCTCTCACAATATCCTGACTGCACTGAGCTGACTTCCCCCACTGCCACGCCCCATGAAGGCACTGTAGGGGCTGAGGAAGTTTCTTTGTCCTGAGAAGTTTTTTTGTCTTTGAGCAAACTGCATTCCTTCAACAATGTAGTGGCTCCTTAGCTTTCAGAGTCCTTCCTGGTCCTGGGGCTCCACCGAAGAACTCCTACCCGGTCTGCACTTAACACAGCCCAGGGTGACTCGTGCACACCAAGTTCAGAGGCCTTTGTTCTCAGGGCTCGGATTGCCACCTGGGCAGAGATGACAATCCTGCTCTCTGCCTGTGGCTTCTCCCTCCCTTTCTCTTCATTCTCATGGCTCTCTTAGTCTTTCCCATCTTTGGCACTCCTCCTCTGAAGCAGCCGCATTCCTCCTGGTTTAGGATCCCAGGAAGGAGCCCCAGGGAGAAAGGCAGTCTCTAATTGGTGTAGCCCACTTTATCAGGCCTCCAATGCGGTTTAGTAATAAACAGATTTGTGAGGAAACAGAGAACACATTTAAAAAAATATATATTCATACAAAGAATGGTCTGTTTAGCCCTGGAGTTCATACACACGACAGCCGTCTCGTGAGTTCAGGTAATGAATTAATGACTGTCTGAATTTCACTGTGTGGCAGTGGGAACAGTTTTGCTTTGTGGAAACTTCACATGAACTGGCTAACTACCACCCTGTCACCCAGCGCAGGGTGGCTCCTTCGTAATCTGTGTCTGCCTCGGACTCTGGAAATGAGCCATTTTCTGCACACCAGCCAGAGCGCACTTCTACCATGAGTTGGAACCAGCTCTGGCCTCCACAGTGGTGGGGCATCTCCAGTCTCCTACCACTGCAGGACCCCGGTGTTCAAGTGGACCACTTCCTAACAGTGATGATACAAGGCAGAAGTGATGGAGAGACTTGTCAGGAAACAGATAGAAAGAGCGTGGTAGCCTACAACAAGATTGCCCCCAAACACAAGGGGCCTGAGGCTCTTTGTTCTCCCTTGCGTCTTGGGGTAGCAGCCTTGCTGTGTCTGCTCCTCTCCCAGCTGAGCCATCAGAATGCCACATGGCCACTCTGTTATTCCAGATGTGAGCAATGATTCTCCCAGTCCAGACCCCTCTCATCACACATGCACCTTGCTGCATACGATACAGCCAGGCATATACGTCGACAGTCACTCTTCTCTGGTACATCTAGTGCAGGTGCACTGTCCCCATAGTCTCTAACCTTTGGGGAAAGTACGCGTCCAAGATTGTCCCACCCTGGACTCCATACTCAGAGACAATCACTAATCACCCCAGCAGCTCTCTTTGTCTAAGCAGTCTAGCACTGTCAGTGCCTCTTGGATGTGGCATCTCACTCCCAAGGAGGTACCTGTCCCTAGGAGACAGTCTGTGGGCTGAGGTGGGCTCCTTTCTCTCCGGGGCCTGAGCCTTGTAACTGCAGTCACAGTGGGCGGTGTTTTATATCCTTTGCTGTGGTGTTTCTTAGACCTTGAAGTAAGCGCTTGTTCTCTCTCTCTCTCCCAGGGAGTTCAGGTGGATAACGTGGAAGACCAGAAAGCCGAACAGCCAGTGATGAGGGTATCTTCATCTGGAGCCATGATTTAACTGTTCAGGTGAGTCTTCGGGGAGGGTAGCACAGTCCAGGGCTGGTCTGTTTTCTGAGAACAGGCAAAGGCACACATGAAGGGTAGCCCTAACATCTGGCCAAACAGAGCTCTGAGAAGTGTAAACCACTCCTGGGTGAGCATGTGTTCCCCAACTTACAGGAAATGTGGTTCTTAGTAGTCCTGTATCCTGCTGTTCCAGTAGGGGCTGCCAGGAAAGGGGGGGGGGTTAAAGGTAATAGGAGCATTCTTTCTGAGCTGAGCTGTGGTCCTGAAAGAGCTGTGACTGCTCTAAATTAAACTCTCTGGGATTTAGAGAAACTCTCATATGTGGTTCAGGCTGGTCCCGAACCTCACGCTCCTCCTGTCTGTCTGTCTGTCTGTGTCCGTGTCTGTGTCTGTCTCTGTGTCTGTCTGTGTCCCTGTCTCTCTCTACGTGTGTGTGTGTGTGTGTGTGTGTGTGTGTGTTTGTATGTGTGTTTTCCCATTTATACCCATTTATTCTCAGGGTTTGTTCATGAAAGTGGCCATTTTCTTTGTGCATGAACTAAATTCAAGTGCAAAGATGTGTCCGGCTTAGAGTGAAGGGGTAGATACAGAATCCTCAGTTTTTACAGGGTTATTACCTCCAGCCTTTGCCGTCTTCTCTACACTTCTAATTTCTCATTTTTAGTGATCATCTTCATGGACCTTCACAAAGTATTCAATCTAATCTTCCATATAAGCTAATTTCACAGTAAAACTACATATACATAGTGATCACTGGAACCTCGTTCTGCCTCAGTCTCTTGAGTGCTGGGTGAAAAGATTTTTTTTTTGTGTCCCAATAAACCTCTGCCAATGCAATAATCTGAATCAACCAAATCACACCGAATTAGAAAGAGCCCAAGTTTAAGGATGCCAGTGCTCCCGGGTGGCATTCCAGCCCCAGAGAGGAGATGGGAAAGGAATACCTGAAAGCCACTAGTTTGTTCTCTGGGGAGCAGTTTAAATACCCTGTGGGAGGAGTGGTCTTTAGCATCTCTGAAGAGGGGTCACCCTTTGGCAGGCTTTCTTGGAGGTGGAGTCTGGAATGAGGCATCTCCCAGAGGAGAGGGCTTGGGATGGGATCACAGATACGTTTCATCCTGCTCAGCTTACTTAGACTTTTTATAAAGGAACAGAGACAGTGCAGAAAGGCAGGAACTGGTACTGGCTTAACTCAGGGTGGTATTTCTCCAAGTATTTCTTGGAGCACAGGGTCCTGACTGTGCAATGGGCACTGGTGGTGTAGTCAAGTGACCAGGGAACATTACATTGACTAAATGGTTGTCCTCAGAACTAATGGACCTTGCAAGTCCCTATGGGCATGTTGGTCAGTAGTGCTTGCCCAGGTTCTGTGCAAATTGTGGCCTGTGACTTTGATCTTTTCTGACTATCAGCCACAGTGATGTAGTTATAAATGAGAATGGCAAGGCTGAGATGCAGGTGCAAGTGCTGCAGGTAAGCAAGAGGAATGGCTCAGCCACAAGGGTTTCAGAGAAAGAGCCCTAGAGTGGCCTGGCTTTAGTGCTGGATGGGTCTGACTTTTGTGTCCTGATGATGGAAGGACGTGTAGCCTGTCTTTCATGCTCCTTGCCCACAGTGGAAGTCGTATCTGCCTCATTGGAATGGTTGTTTCAAGGACAGGAATTATGAGTGCCTGCAGGACTAGGCTATATACAGATGCCATTAGATTTATTCATACAACAAAAATAGTCAAATCCTTTGACTCAAGCTGAAGGTTTGTAGATATGGTGAGACTGGGGAGAGACAGAATGCCTTACAGTAGAGACATCATGTAGGGGAGAAATAGCAAGCTAGGCAGCTGGTAGGCAGAGGAAATGAGGAAAAGTAAGCAAAGGCGTGGTGAACACATTGACTGAGTCCTGTGCCTCACTATGTTTAACAACACTCAGCAAACCAGGGCTGGCAGGGGACTTGATCTGCAAAGTTCATGGCTGTTTCATTCTGAATGGACAGAAAGTTCCCCTCAGTGTCAGACATAAGAGGAAGATATCGTCCCTATCACTGTCCTTTAATATTTGCGCTGGTGTATTTAAATATATAGGCTTGACTAGATGAAAGGATCCTAAATAGCTAGTAAAGCAGTGTGTGTGACACACACACTTGAGTATTTTGGGAGGAGATTGGCATGTGAGTCAGTAGAACACATGAGGAAGGTCTGCCCTTCATGTGGAAGCACCATCCAATTATCTGAGAGTCCAGGTATATGAAAAAGGCCAAGAAGTTAATTTCCTCTCGCTTCTGAAGCTGGTATACCCTTATTTCATTCATTGGACATGACCAAGCATTCTAAGGACTTTGGACTCCAGTCTTGCACCATAGCTCGGGAGTTCTCAGGCCTTCTGTTCAACTGGGCTGACAGGTCTAGCACCACATTCTGAGGGCTTTGGACTTGGCCTGAGCCATGCATCAGGGCATCCTTGGGTCTCTCCAGCCTGTAGGTAGCCCATTGTGGGCTTAGTCCTCATTATCACAAGATCCAGAACCCCTAGTAAGTAACCTATAGTCCATCCACCTGTCCACCCACACATTCACCCATCCACCTATCCAAACATCCATCCACCAATCCATCATCCATCCATCCACCAATCCATCATCCATCCATCCACCAATCCATCCATCCATCCATCCATCCATCCATCCATCCATCCATCTATCCATCCATCATTTGGTTTGTCTATCTTCTTGTCTCTATCACTTTGGTAAACCTGGAGATGCTTTCTCAAAGCTAATGAGATTAGAAAACTAATAGCTCTTGTGGCATTTCAGTTGTATTTTAATAACTATAGACTACCTGAAGATCTGAGAGTAAAACAGTCTCACTAGTCAGCCTTCTACACACACCTTTAATCCCAGTAGCCACAATAACACACACCTTTAATCCCAGTAGCCACAATGACATACTTAATCCCAGTGGTGCATGCCTTTAATCCCAGCCCTAGAAAGGAATATCAAACAGGGGAAGATAGCTCTTAGATGTAGTTTCTTTCTGTCTTGTTTGTTCCTGGCTGCTCAGCCCCACACTAACCACATAGAAACTGTACTACTTTAAATCACTGCTTGGCCTATTAGCTCTAGCTTCTTATTGGCTAGCACTTACATCTTAATTTAGCCCATCTCCTTTAATCTGTGCCTCACGATGTGATACAGCAGCACATATACAGAAGGACTTCCCACATCACTTCTGAGATCCTGGGAGGCAGGATCACCTTTTCTGACTAAGGTAGAGGTAAGAGGCAGTGGCTGGCTATTTTGCTTTTCAGTTCTTCAGGTTCAACCCCAATTTCTGACCCTGAAGTGTTTTTTTTTTTTTAATTAATCATGCTTCATTTATCGCCCAATGTTTAGGGGTACAAATTCGTGAAAATGCCGTTTGCCTGAGGCTTTTTAGCCACCAGCCCAAGTCAGACTTGGGATTGTAATTCCGGCTCTAGGAGGGAACAACAGCTGCTAAACGACATTTGATTATTAATGCTGCTAGATTAATCCAACTTATATATTTTGAAAATGCCTTGACTTCAAAAGTCAAAAGATAACGTTACTTTGGAAAAGTGGTTTTGCTTTTCTTTCCAGAGGAAGTGAGAGGCTGTGGATTTATTCTTGGTTAAAAAAAATAAGTTTTGATCAGTTGTGGATTCATTCTTGCTTAAGAAAAATAAGGTTTGATCAAGGAAGGACCCCCATGAGGGATCTCCAATGGGAATGGATGACACAGATGATCCAACCTTTCAGAGTACATTTGTTGCAGTTTCCTCTGAGTACCATATCCAGAACAGCTTCAGGACATATGGTTGAAATGATCCAGTCTCACAGAATACTCCAGTAATGACTGAAACCATAATCCTAAATTTTCTTTGGGTCCCTGTAAGGTTATCAGCACCCCAATCACAGGAAGTATAGTAGAAAACTATGCCTACATTCTTCAGAAATGGATTATAGATATTTGTTTTTGTTTAATGTGTTGTTTACAAGTTGTTATGGATAATGGTCAGGAAAAAAATCTAAACAAAGGAAATTAGATTCAAGGTTCTTGTTTAAAAAAAAACAAAAATAGAGCAGGCAGTGGTGGCACACGCCTTTAATCCCAGCACTTGGGAGGCAGAAGCAGGTGGATCTCTGTGATTCAAGGTCAGTCTGGTCTACAGAGCAAGTTCCAGGATGGGCTCCAAAGCTACTGAGAAACCCTGTCTCAAAAAACCAAAAAATTAAAGAGAGAGAGAGAAGAAAAAAAGGAAAAGAAAAAAGAAGATATAAATATGATAAGATAGAAAGGTAGATTATTGAATCTACTCTGAAAAGAAAAAGGGAGGATATAGATATGATAAGATAAAAAGGTATATTATTAAATCTACTTTTTGAAAGCAGCTATTAGTTTTAAATGTTTTGCATTGGTTTTACTTTTGTATATTGTATGCAAATTTTATATATTGATACAAATTTGAGATTAATTTTATTAAAATATAATGTACATGCATTTCTAATCTTGTTCAAGGTATTGTACCTATACAGCTCATTTAACAATGTAATACAAATCTCTAGTCTTGAAAACTATTAGTATTAACTGTTTAAGATAATAAAGAAATTTAGGTTAGTAGTTAATAGAACTTGTAGTCACATTAAGTATGTTTTCAAGGTCAAACAAAGATATAATTTAGATAGGTCATCTTCAAACACTTCAGAGAACTACAGAATCTTGCATTTAAGATGTTTTAATAACCTAGGTTCTTTTTTTATGACAATGAGACATGTCTGTTTTTAGAAGCACCAATTTACCTTAGAGAAGGTAATGGTCATCAAAGAAACTCCACATGGAGTTTACTTTCTTTGTGGCAAAAGTAAGCCACTGGGCAAGAAAATGTCCCTGCCTCACCTGCTGACATTGTACTATCCTAGTTTTGTCTAACAAAATACCCTGCTTCACAGAAAAGTCTGTCGAATATGCTAGGCCTGTTGGCTGAAGATGG